CACTCGTTTTTTTTTTTTTCTAATTATGAAACTAGCTAGCTAGAGTCTATATGTTATAAAGACCTGTCCTCTTGTCTCCCACGGTTAGTTCGTCTGAGGAAGTGTTTGTATAAGAGAAACCAACTCCCGCCGGTGAATCCAAAAATAACAGATTCGCCACTGTATTATTATCGAGTGAGTTGATCAATAAGAATACGCACTACGTAACCAAATTTTATCATCTTATTTGAAAAAAATAATAGATGGTAAAATCCTAAATATATAAGTTAGTTCATATATCGCGTAAAATACCTTTGTTCCAAGCATATAGATTTAGACGAAGAGTTTTTCCATCTGGATTAACCCGAAAGGGACCAACTTCCTCAGATGCACCGTAGGCAATGGAGGAGCATCCTGGACCACCATTGAGCCATAGGACTAGGGGCTTACTGCCACTAGGACTAGGGGATTCGGTTAGCCAATAAAAGAGAGCTCGTCCAGCCGCGGAATCAACAGTGACGTAACCAGAGAATTGAGAGAAATTGAGGTGAGGAGGTTGGCCTGGCAAAGAGATGATCTTGTCCTTCATCTTTTGCTCCTTAGCATCACTATTACTACTCATAACTACATCTAATAGAGCAATGACCATGCATAGCAAACACATCCATTGATATGATGTTACCCAATTCTTGCTTTTTCTGCTCATCATCAACATCAAAGAAAAAGAGTTATTTTCGTGTATGTGTGTGTGTGTTTCCTTCGTTTGTTTAGTTTCTTGGGAGTCTCTCATTTTTCCACCTTGATGATTTTATAGAATAATTTGGCAATTTTAATAAACGAGGGTCGTTGTCAACTTATGTCATTTTTAGGTATCATGTGATGTATTTAATATTATATATTCCTAGACTGTTGATTATAATGCATATGGTCAAATTAGCTTACTTGTAGATCTAGAGTATTTTGACTACTAGCTCGTATATTACTCCACATTATTGTGTTTCTCATTCTGAGGTATCTTGTATGCCTATCACATCTTAATGGTCATATTATGATTATTTTATTCATTTCAATCGTTACATAGTCATTGTCATAATAGTAAACTTCTATAGTTCCTATGTTCAATTTAGAACTTTCATAATTTGTTGACATTAATTATTATATTACTTACCTTCGACTTAAAAGCTGGATATTGCTTGCTTACACCGTAATTTAGTCATGTATTTCACATGGAGAGGTGTAGACGTATATTTCTTTTAATATAAAGTGGAATTTGCAAATCCCCTTATAAACGATAACCGTTTAAAATATTTTTATATTACAGAAAATTAGTTAATTGAGTTGGTTTAATTGGTAAGCTGATTTTGTTTGACATTTAATGGCTTGTCCATTCATAATTTTTCACTTTAGTTTCACCTAATGCCGATCTTGTTGGACCATAACCTTTAATTTGGGTTCCCTTTGTCCTACCCTTTTTGTTCCTATAGAATTTTGTCTACAATACTTAGAAAAATCTAATAAACACGGTTCACTAAAAAATTCTCCAAAAGAAAAAACGTAAGCAAAATAATTACATGAACTGAACCAATCCCTCGTTTTGTGTTGTATATATTGGTCGTTAGTTGTGTTGTAGACTTGTAATCGCATAAACTCATCCGTTCCAATTTGTTTGTTTTCATTTTATAATTTTTTAAATTAATTTTTATGCAATTTGTAAAATTGATTTGATGATGATACTTTGTGAACATTTACATTATGCAATCTTTTTCATAATTGATTAAATTGTTTTTAATTAAAATATTTGTTAATATGCGCGTTTTTTTACCTTAAAACATTTTCGAGTAAGACTTAAAAACCGTGTCTTACTCGTTTTCTTGTGTACCAAGAAAAGCAACGGAAAGCCTTAATTTAATGGAAGCATCTAAAGCAACACACACACATCGACAGACAACACTCGTTATTATTTGCTTTTTCACATCAATTAAAAATTTAGACACAGAAGCTGAAGATTGTGTGTTAGTAATGTCAATGAACTGAAAGTGATGATGATAAGCTGAAAAAGAGGTTCTTACTTATTCATTATGATACATTTGCAGAGATACTCTGGTCTTATCACTTACTTACATTGGCTTGTTCTCAAGAAACGATTTAAACAGAAGAAAAGCTCGTCGAGGACGGAAAAGAGGTACCTCGTGTCCTGCTCCATGTATTGTGACCAGAGTAAGCCCTTTGTAAACTTGGCTCCACCCACCAACCTGTTGTTTCACACATACATTAACTAATCGAATGAAACAGAGAATTTAAGC